GCAAACGGTTAGAATAACATTCCCAACATTTCACTATTGATCTATAGTTAGCAATAAAAGCAAAAGTATGGTTAGTAATAAAAGCACATTAAAATAATTGAAGATTCTGGTTTGCGTAGATCCTGACAGGTTGCCAGGAGTCAACGCTGACTTGAAGGCACTCTCTCCCTCTCTCTCTCTCTCTGTCTCACACACACACCCACACCCACAAAGTGTGCATATATACACACTGTATATATAGATTGATGTACTCTTGTGACAGTGGTGGCTGTGTTCAGAAGTGCACTTCACCTGAGAATGCATTCTGGGAACGAAGGCTGATTTTGCATTAGAGAGTTCGGGCTCCACTTTTCCATTCTGCCTCTATTCTTGAAAACGCATTTATTTCTTCACTCAGTTTATATCCTACTTTCACATCCAGTCAAATGCTCAAGGCAGCTTACAACATGAAACAAAAATAATGTGGCATCACGAGGATGAAAACAAACATTTAAAACACAAATATTAAGATCAGGGTCTGTGAAAGAGATGCGTCTTATGATAGCTGCTCTTCTGAAGCGAGAGAGCTGAACGCAGCACGAGGGGGGTGAATTCCACCCCCTGCGAATGCCACAGGAGGGGCCTCCTGAACTATTCACAGGAGGTGAGCCTCTGAGCATGGCGGGAGTCTTCGGAAGGGGGCTTCCTGCAGAGCTTCACACTCCGTTTACAGCAGAAAGATCATTCCCCCAGATAGTTAGACCGATCCATTTAAAAATTAACTTCGGCACTGTAAACGGTCCTCGGAAAGGACCTGGCAGTTGGAACAGATCTTTCCAAATAGGCACCACACGAGCTCCTTGTCGAGCACGTTGGCAGCCTGGTTGCCACGTTTCCCATCCCCATTCACTTTTCAAGGACCCTCACCCAGAGCGCCTGGTTAGGTTGCAGCCAGTTCTCGATCTGGACCTGTTGCCAAACCTGGCTGCTTCAGAAGTGGCTGCAACTGGGCAAATTTCCTCCTTGCCAAAGCTGCCGCCTGGGAGCCTGGGGACAGCGAAGAATCTTGGAGCACCCCTCATCCTCAGCATCTGCTTTCAGGGGAAGCCAGACCCATCCCGAACTGGCTACGCTCCACTCCCAAGTTCAGGTTGCTATTGTCCTGTCTTGTCTGGATTCGAAGGACATTTTGCTTTAGATCTTTTGGTGCTTAATTTTACATGCCTCTAGGGTGGTTACTACAGGTCTGAGCTACCACACCGACAAAAGTCCTCGTACAGCAGCCTACACGGCCCACTGGCGTGGATCCTCTTACATCTGTCTTCACAGGACTCCTCCAGCAACCTTCATCCTGTCCTATCAGCTCAGCACTGAATTCCCTCCAATCCTGTAACACCCCCAATAAATGTGCACAGACCACGTGTAGATAGAGGCATTAAATTTCTGTTCCTGAACATGTTACAGCAAAATATTTATCTAGAAATTGTATGGAAAGAGAACCAATCACTGCTTGTGTGTAATGGGTGGCAAGATGCTTGTATTTTTGTGCAAGACCTTCTCAGCCCCACGGTCTCTTTTAGCAGCTTTATCCATCGGAGCTTCTACTTCTTTTACTGGAGTGTCCTGTTTACTAGCATCCTGATTTTCCTCTTTATTTATTTCTTGGGACAATGCGATGGGAGAGAGTTTTTGATATGAAACAGGTAACTTTTCAGGTGGATCAGATTTTACTTCTGTGCTGGACTGTTGCCAAGCGATGTCATCTGCAGAACAGGAACACATAAAATGTTATTTTGAGTTTAAACTGTAAAACCAGAGAGCAGCAAATATATATGTTTGTTAGTTCCTATCCACGATTTCAGATAATCAAATATTACAAACTCAGGCATGCTTTCTCCTCTTTTCACAAAAATAACTTGGGGATGTGTGCTGCTCCAGTTATGGGCTAAAGAGAAAGCTTTTCCTACTTCAGTCAGGTTATTGTAGGAAGTGCCAGGGAGGAAAAAAATGGTTTGTATTTGTACAATTGTAAAAGAAAAGGACCTGACATAAAAATGGCTGCATCTTAACTTCTGGCATCCTTTGCCATAACTCAGAGCCCTAGGACCACACTGCTATTTCACTGGCCCATCCGAAGATGCTGAAACCAACCAGCAGTGATGAATTGCAAACGGTGACAAACTCCAGTTCAAATCCATCCTCTGAGAACCATGTTTTCATTTATTTTTCTTTCCCACCGTGGGGTTAGAGGGGATGTGGCCGGTTTCGTTCTGTGTTTTAAACCTGTTGAAAACTACCTGCTATGCTTCCTGCCACCCAGCTGGACAGAGAGAAGCCATAGAGTCATAGAAATGTGGAGCTGGGAGGGACCACAGGGATCATCTAGTGCAGCCCTCTGCAACGTGCAAAAAAAACAAAACAAAAAACCAATTAAACCATACCCAAGAGGGGGCTCTCCAGCTGCTTCTTAAAAACTACCAGAGACAGGGAACCCACCGCCTCCCTGGACTGGCTGTGCCGTTGTTTACAGATCTTGCCATCTGGGAATTTCCCTTATACTTAAGCAAAATCTAGGTACGGACTCATTATTTCTGGCCCCATTTTCTGTCTTAAAATGGAGTTTGGGTCATTTATAAGGTGGCCGCCATAGCTTGGATTTACAATCACGCTCTTCACAGGGCTGCTAATCTGGCACCATGGGGAAAAGGACAGGGTTGAGGGTTCTCTGCTTTTCCTAACAGTGTCAATGGTGACTCAGTCTCCCCCTTCGGTAGGCGTGCTTGTGCAACCCATCAAACCAAGGCCACAAATATATGCACACCGGACACAGGTTGGCAGAGGTGGGTTGCTAGAAGCGTTTTTGTTCCTTTTTGAGTTAAGGAAGGGCTGCTTGTTCTTTCCCAGGGAGCTGGAAGCCGGGTGAGGCAGTGCAACGAGCTTGGCCGTTAGCCAGCGGCAGCACAGAGGCTGCGTGCTGACTGGCTGCTGGCACCCTCTGGGCGAGTCGGGGCTGAGGATGCCACTTGGTCGCCAGCCTGGAGCTCACAGGTAAGCCGCACGATGCCGATCTGCGGAAGTGCGGAAAAGGTGCGCTGGTTTTAAAGCGCCCTGGGAAAGACCGTGGATGAGATGCGCGCTGCTTGGGCAAAGCGCACAGGCAACACAACGTGCAGTTTCCAAAGGTGCGTACGGAGCTTTGATTTAAAACAAAACAAACAAAACAAAACAAAAGGAAGCGAAAACTGAAACTAAACCACCTCCTCTTTCTATCTGTGTATTTTTATGAGCATTTTCCTTTTTCTCCTCTGAGGCGAAGGAAGTTCCCTTGCTCTGCTTTGCAGCCATCCTGGGCTTTTGCTTTGTTTTATGCGGCCAAGGATCCTCCATCCAGGCATGGTGTATCGCTTCTTCTGGAGTCATGCGCAAGGAAGGTTTCCACCTGGGGTAACGAGAGGGGATAAAACGGATGAGGGCGAGGCTAATCCTTCACGGCATCCTGCGTGTAACGGAAGACGTGCACGGAGGAAGGAAGCGGGCCCTAATCTGCGTCACAAGGAGGCTGTTATCAAACTGCGCAGAGGACGGGCCCTTGCGGCGTCTTCGTCGCTCCGCCTCATTGTAAGGGGAGATCTCATGAAAGCCTCCGAGGGAGAGGGGGAAAGTAACCCAATCAGCTGGGCGGGTCTGAACGAAGACCTGCGTGTCTCATTACTACTGGAAGGAAGAAGAGTCAGAGCTGAGGAGGCAGGGAATTCCAGGGGAAGGGAGTTTGGCCATTCGTGCGTCCCAGCCATCGGACTTCATCTTGCCATTTTTAAACTCTTCTGTGAGCTTGACTCACAGCGTAACCGTAGTGCCATCTTACAGATGTTTAACCTTGGCAGTAGAGAAACTGCCCCCAATTCACTGCACAGCGTTTCGAAGTGTCTGAGGGCAGCCTATGGTTAAGCAAGGTACTAGCCAGACCTCCTTGCTCATTTTGTCATCATGGTGGCCGGCTGCAGGTGCCTGTGATCATGTGAGAACAAGGAATGTTCAGAGAAAACCCTCCTAAATTCCACAGGAGAGCAAGCAAGAACGTTTTACATATCTAATCACTAAGGACTATTGAATACGCATTCCAATAACTCATCAAATGCAATGGGGAAACCTCTGCCTTAGCTCTTTTCTAATACATAATAGACAAAACAGGGAATTAAGCTATCAAAAAAAATTCTCTACAATTATCCGTTTCTCTACAGTTATTTTAAAAAGCATAGGAAAATAAAGCAGGATTTAGCAAAATAATTTTTAAAAAAATCTCACACAAGGCACTTCTTGAGAAAATCCAGAAAAGAGCCATCGTGTGTTTTCAACACAGTGCTCAGATCTTTGGAATTCGGATTCCTTGTCTTCCCTCTACTGTTTGTAAGGTTCTTTGGAGCACTGCTGGAATCTACAAAAGAGGAAAGCAAATTTTACAGCTGAAAGCACATTTCCATGCCAGCTGAGATTGTGAAGCTGACAGACGTTTCCACAAGCTGTCAGTCTGCAAAGAAGAAAATACACACATTTGGGGAGAGCAAATGTTGTACTCTCGAGAGTTACCTGTTTGCCTGAAAATGCCTCTGGAACTGGGAGTTTAATTTTATGGCCAGGGTCCATAATAAAGCCAAGTACGAATTCTTAATTATAAAATTAATTTGATTAGGCGTAGGAATGGGGCACCAATATTTCAGAGCCAGTCTGGTCTAGTAGTGAAGGCTCCAGGCTGGAAACCAGGAGATGGCGAGTTCTAGACCTGCCTGAGGCACGAAAGCCGGCTGGGTGACTTTGGGCCAGCCCCTCCCTCTCAGCCAACTCACCTCACAGGGTTGTCGTTGTGGGGAAAATAGGAGGAGGAAGGAGTATTAGGTATGTTCATCTAAATATAATAAAGGCAGGATAATATATGTATGTATGTATGCATGTATGTATTTACACAGGGCGTGCTACCTCAAGACTACAAATTAAATACAATTAGCAGTATAGCCAAAATGGTTGGAGCGGCCCTGCCTGTAGAAATTGGAAGTCCCAGGCAGACCGATGACTAGAGCCGCATAGGCTGTCACAGGGAATAATAATGGGAGGGACAGGTGAGGATGGCCCTGAAGACCCCTCCATCCTCCAGAACGGGCAGTCACTAGGACGCATCGCTCGATGTCCGCTGACGGAAGGCGGTCCTCTCAGTCGCTACCGCCCAACACTTGTCTCCCCACCTCCACCAGAGAGATTTGGGGCAGGGGGGACTACGACGGCTATACTGCCCTCCTTCCTAGCATCCCAACATCTGGATCCTCTGAGATCCGCTCCACCCCAGGCAAGTGAAAAGCCGGTCTCAGGCTCCAGGCTCTGGCTCAACCGGCGCACGTTTCCACTTGCAAACCCGGGTGGGCCACGTGGGCTGCAGTGGAGAAGAGCAGCTGCTGCTGCTGCTGCTGCTGCAGAGGCTCAGAGCGATGGTTTCCAGGAAGGATGCGGCTGAGCTTGGTCGTGGGGCTGCTCGGCGTTCCTTTCCCAGAGGAGCAAGGCCTTTTCTCATGCTTCTGGTGGCTGTGGCCAAGGGATAGGCTGGAGGAGTGAGGTCCAGTCACTGTGATGCGGGGGGTGGGGGTATTTCATCCTCCGAGTAAATATTGGGTGGATAAATAGATAAATCATAAATAATGCATTATCAGTGCATTAAGCGTTCCTGCAAAACAGAGACTTTTTTCATTATAATTATAGCCACTAAGTGAACCATTCAGAAATGATAAATGCTTACCAAAGAAGGTTCGTCTTCTTGATGCAGTTTGGATGAAATCAGCTGGTGGAAGTCCTAAGATCTTTAAAACAAAAGAAAAATGAGAGAGAGAGAGAGAGAGAGGGATAGAGTTTGGAGTCTCTCTGTAAACCAATGGGTAGCTAACTCAGTTGAAGTCCAAAGGTGAACCGTGGATTGGCTGACCATCTCATGACTTGGCTCAGAGCGAGTAGCTGGATTTAGGGCTGCTCGATTTAACTCCCCGCGAGAGCCTTGCTAGGTTGTGAACAAGGACGGCTGTGCTAACTGTAAGCCCAGGTGAAACTACATGGCTGAGGAGGGCGGTACTCAGAGATTGAAACACTCCTGAGGTTCCTGCCAACTGTGTCCTTCTGGTTACAGTTCTCCCAGGGCTTCTCAGACAAAGGACCCAAGTCCCAGCCCAGTCCAGAAATCTGTTCCTGAATCCCCCAGTCCCGGCTATGGAAAGAGGAAGGCCCGGTTGCCTCTCCCAGTCCCTACTATTCTTTGGAAGAGGACAGGGGCTTCACCCTAACCCTAACCTCGAAGGAAAAGGATAGGAATGTCAGCAGAGGCTAACTTAGTCCTACCTTAGACCTTGTTCTGTAGGAATTGAAACTCCATCCTCAACTGGGTCTCTTAAAAGTCAGATTGGCTTCAGTTAGCCATTACTGTAGCGGTATCTTAGTTACTGTAAGCTTAGGGTGCATGAGAGAAGATTTCACATAGAAATCTTTGTGGAGTAAGACTCAGAGACATTAACTACATATACAGAAATTATGAGTTCTGACATCACAAACAAAGGGAGTTAAAGACAAACGCTTAATCACCTGTTTAGGGCTTGGGACTAAATCTTTCAGTGTTTGTCTGAATCTGGAGAATAATGCATACTTTATAATGTGTAACTGTCTTCTGTATCTCAATTAGGATTGTTATAAGACTATTTTTCAAAATTGTTGGAATGAGTCATGTTTACGCTTCCATATCAAACCTGCTGAAACACTGGGTCAAAAAACACTTTTCCCCAAGACTGAGCAAGCAAGCTAATAAATTTGGGAAACTGCTAATTACTTCCAATACAGCTATAAAGAAAACAAAAACCAAATAAATAAATAAGCAAATCCTGTTTAAAATAATTTCATTTTCACTTTTAGACATTTTTTTTTCTCCCTAGGTGTAATACAGATCATTCTTTATCACCTCTGTGCCGAATGATGCAGTGAGCCTATTGCAGCCCCCAGTCATGTTTTCCCAATTTCTCCAGATACCTTGCTGCTTATAATTCCTCCTAAAAATAAATACATTCTTTGTTTTTTTCCTCAAAAGCAAGTGCAGGAGGAAAATATGGCACTGGGCAGACATCTTCTCCCTCATTACCTTCCCAGAGACTTGAGAAGAAAATCAAGCCTGTCAGCTCAGCCATCCAGAGGGCCAAGGAATGTTGATAAAATGAGAAGAAGATACTAGGATACTAGGAGTCATCAGCTCTGGCACCGAGGACAGCTGAGGCTCTCTAGAAACTGTTAGAAGGCTACGTCCATGGAGTCCTCTCAAACCACGGAGGTCTTTGTAGTCCTACCTTCATTTGGCTCATTCTTCTGCCCTAATTACCTCACTAAACACCTGACATGTCACTATAGCCAATCAAACACATTGCTGTGTATTCTAATTTGCATGATTTTAATTTGCATAAAGAAGAGTTGCACCCCCACCCCTTTTTAGGTTAGCTTGACTGCCTCCGGTACCAAAAGGAACAAATCAGAGTTTCTGGGAAATTGTGTGCTGCCCGCAGATTTGAATGAACTCTTGGGGAATTTGTGAGAGAAACATCTCCTACACAAGCTGTAGGCAGCTTTGGAGCCCTGCAGTGCAGAGGTTTCCTACTGGTACTCTAATGTGGCTTATGAGAAGGAGAACTTCATCTTCATTGCTCCTTCCCAAAACTGTCCAGCAACAGTCCCTGGAAAGGGATGGTTATGTGATCCGAGATTTATTTAATTTAATTTAATTTAATTTATTTATATTTATTTATTTATTTATATATCAAATTTGTCACCGCCCATCTCATTAAAAAATTACTCTGGGCAGTTTACAGAGAAGTTAAGATCAATTAAAAATACATTATAAAATAGTCTTGAATAAGTAGAAAATAAATATAATCCAAGAATAGTTGATAAATTGACAGGTAGCTCAGGGAGCGTCATCAAGGCACCAGCCACCCCCAGGATTGGGTAAAATTCTTACTGGCCCACGCAAACTGGCAGGATTAAAGCCAGGTCTTTAATCCTTTCTGGAAAGCCAGGAGGGTAGGGGCCCACCGCATATCTGGGGGAGAATATTCCAAAGGGTGGGGGCAACGGCAGAGAAGGCTCTCCTCCTGGAGGGGAGGAGGTTCCCTACAGGAATTAAAATTCCTCTGCCTCACAAGCTGGCAATGTTTTTCCATGTGAGTCGCCACCTAATCAGAAAGGTTCACTGCGACTGAGGCACGCAGCGTTTCAGGTGATTCAGGGGCACCCCTGCAAGGGGCAGCACTGGCATGTCTCTGCCAGGGGCTCAGAGGCTCTGAGGGGCAACCTGCCTCTCCTCCCCCCTTAGAAAGCTGCTCCCCTGCGGCCTATCCTATCGCAACCTTTGTTTATTTGTTATATGATTTTGTGATTCTCAGCAGCTACAATGTCACAATCAAAACAACAGAACTAAAACAACATACAATCAGCCAAAACAACATCAAAATACAGAGGAGAAGCGGTAAGGGCAGTGAGAGGCGCAGGGGGTGTTACTGAAAGGCTCTTTGAAAAAGGTCCCTTTCTAATCACTTCCCAGGGAGGGGGCCAGCCTGATCTCAGTGGGACCCCCCTCCTGAGGGTCACAAAAGGAGCTCTGGCTACCTGGCCTCCCTGAAATGTGGGACAACATGGACCCCCTTTGCCTATGGCCAGGACAAATCCAACTGGAGAGGCGTCCCATTGATGCCCAGCTGGCGAGCCATGAAGCGCTTCGTACGCCAACACCAGCCCTTTAAATTGTGCCTGGCGCTGAATCAATAACAGCGCAGGGCCCACCATAGAGGCGTAACGTGCTCCCAACGTCAGGAATCAGCTAAGACTCAGCCTGCTGCTTTCTGGACTGCACAGAGACCGCTGGGCCTCTACTCCATTGACGCAGGGTACAATAGCCAAACCTTGAAAGCCTGACAGGGTCTCTCTTTCCCTCCCTCTCACAGCAAAGAGAATGAGGCCAGGCAGTCTTGAATTTCTTCCTTCCCCTCCTCCCTTCCCGAGCAAATGGCTGCTGAATTCTTCTTCAAGGCCATCTCTCTACATATCCAGACCCTCACAGCCTCCAGGCACTGGGACAGGACACCAACAGCATCTCCCCCAGAACCTGGGAGACCAAGGCATTGTTGGGTATCATCAGCATAGAATGATACCGTATCCCAAATTGTTGCACGATCTCCCCCAGCGGTTTCATATAGATGTAAAAAGGAAGGGGGTGAGGACTGGCTCCTGTGGTACCCCACAAGGGGCCACCAGGCCAGCCTTACCTTCCCCACAACAGAGGAAAGAGTGGAACCCAGTGTCCAACTGCCACGATCCAATAAGACATCATGATTGTTAGTATCAAAAGCCACTCAGAGGTCTAAAAAGGCAGGGACAGATATACTGCCCCATCCAGATCCCAACGCAGGTCATCCAGGACAGCAACCAATGCCATCTCAGTCCCACACTCAGGCCTGAACCCAGACTGAAGAGAGTCCAGATAATCCTCTTCCTCTCGGGTGCTGTGTAGCTGATCTGCCACCACCAACTCAATGAAAAGGGGAGGTTGAGACTATCCAAGACCGCAAGACTGAGAGACCACCTCTTTATCAAGACATACGCCATGGCCTTCTTCAAGGCAGCTAGGAGCTGTCCCTAGATGAGGTGTTGATGGTCTCGTGGATCCATGTGGTCCCTCCTCTACCCACTCCCTGCAAACATCATTTCATTTCATTTCATTTCAGCACTCAAAACTGAACACCTAAGTTTAGGCGAGGGCTGGTTAAAATGGAACAAATTTCTGAAATCCCATGATTGTTCG